GTATCAGGTCAATGTTACCTAATGACTAAATAAAAATGTGTTCTGCACTATCTTTAAAATACTGATTTTTAAATTTTGGGTTGGAAAAGTGGGGGTCGTCTTCTACATGGGGGCGTCTTATTGATGGAAAAATACGGTATCCTGGCTGTGGATTAGGTGGATGTGCAACACAGATGTAGCACATCCACCAGAAAAGATATCTTGGACAAGATTGATTGAAATAGGGGGCATCTGGCCAACCCACAGTTGTATTTAAACCAGTCCCCCAAGAGAACATCACCAGTAGACTGAATCTCCTGTCAACAGAAGCCACCTTGAAGTCCTCCAAAAGCGTTTGAGCTACAATCTCCTGAATTCCTACCAAAGTGAGGGGGAATTCCGTCAGGGTGTGCCAGGCAACAGTCAATTCTAAGGAGATGTTTTAAAAAGGAACACAAACTCAACTGCAGTTGAGTGTCCAAACTGTTGGATTCAGGTCAAGAGAGCCTGAGTACAGATCTGCATCTCACCACAAATGGAGCGATAAACAAATCAGAAACTTCAAGCTAATTCATTCAGAGGGCTGAATGAAGATAAAATGGCCTTACTCTTGAACTCCTTGGGGAAAGGCAGGGTTACAAATGTGGCCCAGCCAAACAATAAATAGTGCTGGAAACAGTTCAATATTCCTCATGCACTTACCCACACAATATCCCACTAGATTGAGATATTGCTCTCTCTTGCAGGGAGTTCTGCATCTTCCATTGAGGAAAGTGACGTGGGGATGACAAGTTGTGCATTCATCATCAGCAGCCCCACTGCATGTCTCACAAGAGGGATGGCAGGCTGGGGGACAGAGAGAGAGAAAGAGAAAAGTCTGGAATGAAACCCAATTACTTTATTAAAAGGCAAAACTCTTGACTTCATAGCTTCCAGAACATAGCTGTGTGCATGTCTGGTTATTTGACCCAAATGTATCTAATAAATAGCTAACGCTGCAGACGTTTCCCTTAGTTGGATCATTGCTGAGAAGTTTCTTCAACCAAAGCTTGGGATACAAACACACTCTATCAATGCTAATTATATGACACGTTATATAAGATGACAGAAGGACTGTCTGCAAAAAGATGTACTGTTTATGGCTGCAAAAGCAATTTCAATACAGATCGTATTTGGATCGTTATTCTTTTGTGCTTCCAGGGAGTCCACAGCAGGACCAATGATAACAGGAGCAAAGCTGCCCAATGTTCATTCTTCCCCAGGGGTAAAAAATCAGATCCATTTTTGAAAATGTATTAGGTAGTCTGGGCTCTGGGCCTCTCCCTCCTATTCAGAGCAAAAATATCCCCATTCTCATGCAGGCTGCAATTTGTTTGAATCCTTCCTCAACTGTTGCACGATCACACGGTCAAGCAAGGAAACGCTGCCAGAAAATATTTTCCCTCTGGCTTTATATATCTGAATATTTTATTAAAAATCCAGGCATGGAAATTTAACTCTGCAAAACAAATGGTAAAAAGCAGACTGGATTTACCCCAGCCCTCACTGAGATTTGGCTGGGCCTAGTAAACTACAGACTTGGGGCCCTAATTATATGAGGGCCACTATACGAACATAGCTAACTGTTAATTTCATCCTGTTCCTTGTGCTACAAGCTGAAATATAACCATCTGCTGCAAACATATGGGCTCAGGTCTTCTACACTCACAAGAGAGAGTTGTTGTATAAACAACTCCCATGTGGCCAGTTAAAACTAGCTTCAATAGACCTTTCTCTTCGTTTCTTTGCAACATTTCCTCCTCCATAAACTTTCGAGACTTCCTTCGACTCTAAATGAAAAACAATAACCCAATATATAGGCATGAAAAAGGTTTGTCTCGCCTGTCAACTTGGCAAATAGATTTTTCCTTGGGCCCCCCAAACAACAGCAGCGGGCTCCAGCAAGCATTTTCCATTAACAAAATGAAAAAAGAAGAGCTCTCTTATCTGTTCAGCTACACGCCAGGCATTCCTCTGTACTCACAAACTCAGCTCAAAATGAAATAGGAAGATAAAGGTCTACATTAGTCATAGCTTTGAAGTTTCAAACTTGCTGTAAAGCAAAGAAGAGTTCAGGTTTTCACCATCACCCCCTCTCCTTCCCAGCTATCTTTCCTTTGCTTTTAAAGAGGATAAAACAGGTATAAACACATGGGACACTTGAGTCATTTGCCTCAATGGAATGTCTTCTATTTACGAGTGTCATCAAGCAAAATTTGAGAGGCTGTTTCAATGCCAGCTGACATGTGTCTGCATGCTAGTTGCCCGATTCAGTTCTTGGAATCACCAATAATTCTGTTGATGGTGGTCTATATCCTTTTCTGCTCAAATGGCACTCACTGACAATCAAAGTCAATCACATTCTGATGGACTAATAGTTGGACACACTCCAGCAGGGTTCCTCAACCTTGGCGACTTGAAGTCCACACATCTTCACGTCGCCAAGGTTGAGGAACCCTGCTCTACAGCCCTGCTCTACAGTGCTATATGTCGAGTCTAAAAACAGTCCGATGGATTTAAAAAAAAAGAACCTGGAACATCTGCATAGGCTTCTTATCCACTTCTAACACATCATGGTCCTAAGGACATAACTCTGTTGCAAAGGGACAGCTTGGTAGGTCTAATAGCATGGACAATGATACAGAACTGCTAGGGTGCATAACTGATATAGTAACCCAGCTTGCAGAATGCCATCATTTTGGTCAATGCTTGATACAAGACAAAGACAAAAGAGATATCCAATGAACTTCTTCAGCCTGACTGGTCACTGAAGGAGAAGATGCTGAAGTCACAAAAGCCTTTGGCATGATGTCTCGGTTTAGCTAAGCAATGCTAGCTTAGAGTCCCTTCATATTCTCCAGCGCAGAAGAAGTCACAAAGACTTGAGGTATTAGTATCAAGTAATAAAGCCCCAGGACATAGATGAAAGCAGACTAAAGTTTGAACAGGGGTTATTTCACAGAAATAGATCTAAAGATAAAATAGCTAAGCGAATTTGTAGTTTTATAGGATTTGCCTAGCTGGGCAAAACAGCCGAGCAAATATGTCTAAGTGAGCTACGGCCAGAATTCATCCACAAAATTTCTGTGGAGACTATAAATCAGGCTCTCAGCTATATTCAAAGGTGGCCTTGATTTTAAGTGCCAGAGATGAGAGTGATCTATATTATTTGTACGTAATGAGTGATCTATATTATTTGTATGTAAATAGGCAGTATCTCAGAATATTTTTAATAGATCTTAAACTTTTGAATCATCATTAAGAAGGTTCTATTCTTTGTTCCAAGCTGTATGCCTTTTAATATGGATCACTGCTACTCTGTATTACTTATGTTTTCTCTCTATACAATTCCACATTTAAGTTACAGATCTATTTAGAGACTGAAGATGCTCAATAAAATAAACCTTTTGGCTGAAAGACACAGAGAGAGACAGTGGATAAAAGCACTGCACATTTGAACCGTTTGGAATTCAGAACAATTTCCCAACAAATGGACACTCTTGTAGGGAAATCACCCACATATAGTTCTTAGACTACAATATTCTTACAGGGGAAGAAGCAAATGCCTCTATCTGTATCTCAACCAATCAGGATAGCATTCGCATGAGCAACTCAATCAGCTTGAGCAAGCGCTAGTGAACAAGGTTACAGTCAACACATTCATGAGCTAAGTAGAAAGCTGGTTTTCTGTTGAGCAGTGATTGTTCTCTCTGACCATCGACGGTGGTGCTGTAGCAAACTCTGCCTTTCACTAGCTGTATGTACCCCAAAAGATGACCCTGAATTTAATGTGATACCCGCCACCCCCAAAAGAAGAGTATACAAGGGAGAAAAATATCATGCAATGCCCAGCTTCCTCAACATCAAATTTGCTAAAGCCATCTAGAGTTTGGAGGTTTCTCCCTTCCCAGTACTTACATGTTAGACACTAGTGTGTGCATACATACACTTGAAGGCACACTTCAAAAATAGGCAGGCCAGGAGTCAAATTTAATCTCCTCAGGATTAACTGAGACAGTTAGCTCTACTTTGGAGTTTGCATGAAACACCCCTCCCTCCCTCAAGCTCCAGTCAAATGCGTTATGTGAACAGAACCTCTGTATCTTTTTAAAAAATTCAAAAGGCCTACATATCCTGATTCCAGTTAAATTCCAACCATGACACCTTTTTTAAAATCTATCTATGATTCTTCAATATCTCAGCTCATTTCTACGTCTCTGGCAGTTAGTCTCTTGAAAGCAGTTACTGAAACTGCTCCATCGGAAGGAAAGACGGAGCATGAAAAATAGTGACATTTGCCACTCATATGCAAATCATAGGCTTTTGCTTCAGATTTTCCTTCAGCCAAGTCATCCATGATAAGCATGAAGCATGAAAACATTTACATTCGGAGACCTTTTTTTTTTCAATAGCTAAACATACTCTTGTTTTATCACTCATGGACAGAAATGCCTAAGAGGCCATTTAAAAACAAAGGCAAAACATGCTCACTGCTGGCAAGGTAATTCTTTTTTCTAAGTCCCATTATTCCAATACAGATGTTTGTTTCTAACTCTCTCCTGCCATCTGTTATTTACTAGTTTTCTGGAGCCTGTGCATATTTATCTGTCAGCAACACAAATCATTCTTAAGAAGCCAGCAGTAAAAGATGAGTCAGAAAAAAAAGATCCAAATCCATAGGTGGAGAATACCTTCACTACCAAACTGTCACAAAAGGGCAGGTTAGCATCTGAGTTCTACCAAAGATATGGAAGAAGTAAGAAAGACCAAACCTTGTTCAGTTATGAAGTCTCCAGTTCAAAAGCAAGTGGCAAATTGTAGATGGAATGCAGAGTCAATGTTAGATGTTGCTGGCATTAGATGGTACCCTCTCTTCTGGGACAAAAGAAATGGACTTCCTTGCTTCTTCCCCACCTCTTTTGTAACATCTTGCCTGATGAAGAGTTCTGGAGACCTTGAAGTTTGCAGGCCCTTTTGTGTCATTTTAGGGTTTAGGGTGGGTCATACTATTCAGGTGGCGACAGGGATGGGGTGTTATGACAGGAGTCAGAGGATGGCTGCTCTCGGGGAAGATGCCCCCGGTGTTTATTACCAGTGATGTGTCCTGGCCCTCTGGACTCAGACCCAGGCCCTGGGCAGCAGACCAACAGAGGCCCTGGCTTTCAGCTGCTACTTTTCAATGCCAGGTCAGTCAACAACAAGGCCCCCCTTATACATGATCTCATCACTGAGGAGCAGGCAGACCTGGCATTCATCACTGAGACCTGGCTGGGTCCTGAAGGGGGGGTTGCCCCTTTCGGAAGTGTGCCCAGCCAGGTTCACAGTGTGGCACCAGCTGAGACCCCAGGGCTGGGGTAGAGGGGTAGTGGTTGTCATCCGGAAGTCTCTGTTGGCCTTCAGGGGTGCTGCTCCACAAGTGGCCAGTTGTGAGACCCTGTTCCTGAAGATGGACTCCTGAGAACAGTTGGGATTGTTGCTACTGTACCAGCCTCCCTGCTGCATAGCAACCTTCCTGCCTGAGCTGCTGGAGGCTGTCTCGAGGTTGGCAGTGGAATTCCCCAGACTTATGATTCTGGGGGACTTCAACCTGCCATCCTTGGGGCATGCCTCAGAGGCGGCTTGGGATTATGTCCACCATGCCAGCCATGGGCCTGTCCCAGATTATTCGCGACCTGACTCGGGACAGTGGTCTCACACTGGATTTGGTTTTCTTATCAGAGCAGATCTGAAGGGGGAGTTACATCTGTCCCCCTTGTCATGGTCAGATCATGTCCTGGTGCCCTTGAGATTCTCTGATGCTACCTCCCCCGCTGCAAGGAGGCAGGACCTTTTCAATTGATCTGCCCCCAGTGACTGATGGACCCAATGGGGTTCCAAAGAGAGCTGGGGGTTACACCCAAGGATCTGCTTCACGGTCCAATGGGGGCCTTGGCCGCCACCTGGAATAGGAAAGCAGCCAAGGCCTTGGACAAGATTGCACCCATGCGACTCCCCATGGTTTACAGAGGAGTTGAGGGTCTTGAAAAGGATTAAGAGATGTCTAGAGGGCTGCTGGAGGAAAACAAAGACTGAACCACAGGCTAGAGCCAGTATTAAGATCTACCTTGTGGCGGCAAGAATAGTGAAACATCAATATTTCTCAGCTCTTATTACATCTGCAGAATGCCGCCCAGCAGCCCTGTTTAAGATCACCCCTTTTGGGAAAGGAGGGCCCAGTGGACCACCTGTAGGGCTGCACTGAGGAGTTTTCTGGGCATCTGGAGGATAAAATCGTTCGGATCCATTCCCAGTTGGATACCAAGTATGGGGCATGGCCTACGGAGATGCTCAGGAGACTTACCCTTTTATCTGGGAACAGTTTGATCCTACTGGACCTGAGGAGTGGACAGGGTCCTCTGGACTGTCAATGGCACCACTTGTCAACTAGACCCATGCCCTTCTTGGCTGGTTAAGGCTGCTCGGGAGGTGACATGTGGGTGGGTCCAGGTGATGGTGAATTCATCCTTGAGGAAGGGAGTGTTTCCAGTCATCTTTAAAGTGGCACTGGTACATCCCCTCCTCCAGAAACCATCGCTGGATCCCCCGTATTGGACAATTTTTGTCCAGTCTCCCACCTCCCCTTTTTAGGAAAGGTGGTTGAGAAGGTGGTGGTATTGCAGCTCCAGGGGATCCTGGATGAAAAGGATTATCTGGACCCTTTTCAGTCAGGTTTCAGGCCGAGATATGGGACAGAAACAGCATCGGTCACACTCACGGATGATCTCTGGGGGGCGGGGGGTTGGATGAGGGTAGTGCATCCATCCTTGCTCTTCTTGACCTGTCAGTGCCTTTCCATACCATCGACCATGGTATCCTTTTGAGCCAACTTGGGAATTGGGAGTGGGCAGCACAGTTTGTGCTGGTTCACTTCCTTTCTCCAAGGTTGGTCCCAATCACTGTTGATTGGGAGTGAGAGGTCCAGCCCACGGCCCCTCTGTTGTGGGGTACTGCAGGGTTTGGTACTCTCTCCGCTCCTTTTTAACATCTACATGAAACCACTGGGTGAAATCATCCGCCACCATGGGATGAGGTATCATCAATATGCAGATGATACCAATTATACATCTCCATCCCAGGTGACTTGAGTGATGCTGTGACCACCCTTTCACAATGCCTGGACACTGTGGGTGTCTGGATGGGGCACAACAGGCTTCAGCTGAACCTGGTAAGATGGAGTGGCTGTGGATTGGAGGCTCCTCTATATCCAGGGGTTTACCATCTTTGGTTCTGGATGGGGTTGCACTGCCCCAGACAGACCTGGTGCATAATCTGGGGGTCCTCCTGGACTCACGACTCCTGCTCGAACAGCAGGTAGCAGTCGTGGCCAGGAGGGCCTTTGCTCAACTTCGCGTTGTGTGCCAGTTACGCTCCTTCCTGGATCAGGAGGCCCTCCGGTCAGTCACTCATGCCCTGGTCATCTCTTGTTTAGACTACTGCAATGCGCTCTACATGTGGCTACCCTTGAAAAGTATCTGGAAGCTACAGCTGCTTCAAAATGTGACCGCATGGACAATCTTGGGTGCCCCAAGGATGCAGGGCCTGCATTGGATGCCAGTTTGCTTCCAGGTCCAATTCAAAGTGTTGGTTATCACCTTTAAAGTCCTACATGGCATGGGTCCAGGTTACCTGAGAGACCATCTCACCCCCATCACATCGACCCGTCCCACCCAATCAGGCAGAGAAGGCATGTTATGGACCCCGTCAGCGAGAGAATGTTGACTGGCGGGTCCTAGGAGGAGACATTCTCTGCCATTGCCCCCGCCCTATGGAATATTCTCCCCCCAGAGGTTAGGAGGGCCCCTACCCTCCCAGCTTTCTGGAAACAATTGAAGATCTGGCTCTGCCAACTCACGTGGGGCGAGAAGAGATATAACCAACCCTGGGGGTGGCTGGAGCCTTGAAGATGCTCCCTGAGTCTAATAACTCCTAGGTAACATCAGTTTCTTGGAAGATATTTATTATTTATATAGGAATCTTGTTATGGTGCATTTTAATTAATATTTATTTTTTACTGTAAAATGCCCAGAGTCACTTTGCAGTGACATGGGTGGTGACAAATTTGAAACATAAATAAATTAATAAATTAATAAATTTTTGGTGATCATAGTTATCACCTAGCTATAATGCTGGTTCCCCACTCCCCAGCTCAGGAGTCCAGCATGACTATGACTGCTTTTATTCAAACAAGTTGTCTCGCCTGGAAATCGCCTTCTCTCCCATCCCTATGTGAATCCCCTTAGTTTGCGGCATATCGGTTAAGTAGTGCTTTAATATAGGAAGAGTTTGTTCTTGAGAGTAGTTATGATGGAGAAAGAAGTCTTGTTATACACACTGATAACACTGCCCAGGAGTTCTGCTCTGGAGGCTCACCAAAGCAATGTGTTTCCTGATGATACCATCCCTTTGGACACTCAGCAATGCACTGGCCTTCATAAAGGACCTGAGGAGATGTGCAAGCGGTGCAGTTCTCAGGGGATCTCCCTGTGCAAGAAAGGCAGGAGGAGTGGCACGCTGCAGCGGAAAAAAGAAAGGCAAGTTGGTCAATCAGACTATATCGTTTTTGCAAGATGGTAGGACTTTGGGGTAGAAGTTCCAGGGCCACATACTGCAGAGGAGAGTAATACGCATGATCACCCAAACAGTTTTTACCCCCCAACAGAGCAGAAGTCCAGCGTGGGACCTCCATGATACCATTAGATCCAGAGTCTAAAGCTAATTAGAACATCAGTGCTACCAAAGCTACTTGTTCAATTTTACTTTCTTGGATTATTTTTTAATCATGAGAATTGCTGCACGGGATTCTGCCACATACTCTGCACCATCCACTAGGAGCTTTCCTGAAGCACCAATCATCTTTTTTTAATACTGCAGATTTTTTTCCAAATGCATGAGGGCTTGAGCTGTAGGAGAACAACCCTGAACTAGATATTAGGGGAAAAAACCATGAGCAAACAGTAAATCCACATTAGAACCCATTATCTTGAATAGAGATGGGCAATCTTATTGCAGCCAGGGGTTGGCTTACATCCATCCATCCATCCATCCATCCATCCATCCATCCTTATGGCTTAGGGCCAGGGGGAGGGGGTTGATGCTGATGTGATACTACTAGAATGTGCAAGACTAGTTTTGCTCCCTTTTCTCCCCATTCTGGAAGATGGGGGCTTAATCTTAATACCTGGTTTAATCCTATCATAGCATTTAAGTCACTATTTTACTACTTCTGTTGACAGAAAGAAAGGCAGTTTGGTGCAGCGGTGAAACCGGGAGACCGTGAATTCGCTCGCTCTCTTTCAGCCTAAGGAAGGAGGCGGCCAGGGCAAACCACTTCCAAAAATGTTGCCACAAAAACTGCAGGGGCTTGTTCAGGCAGTCGCCAGGAGGCAAGCCTGACTTGAAGGCAATCAATCAATCAATCAATCAATCAATCAATCAATCAATCTTGACCGAAGGCATGGAAGAGTTTCACTGTCGATATTTGGCAATTTTCTATCCAATTTTGACTGCCTGATATGGGATGGGGGGCATCTGGGGGTCGCAAGCAATCACAGGTTAAAAAGCTGTCTCTCGGGGATACTTTATTTCCGAATTTCCTGCCTCAAGCAGGGGTTTGAATTATTTGGTTTACAAACTCTCCAGGAATCTATACAGCTGTGATCTGCTAGTCTCAGCAGCCTTTCCTCTCATTCCAATTTCCCCCAAATCTATATAATAAGCAAATTTGTTGCTGCGGTACGTATTCTGGGTACAGATGTGAACTGGTGCTTTTAAGAGGGAACAGGATGCAGTGTTGTTAACCAAAACCCTTGAGCACAAAAGGGTTCAGAACTACCTTTGGACTGGATTTTCTTCCAATAAATGTCAGGACAATCTAAATCACTTGACACAACCACTTTTTATTAGCCAATCGTTTGAATGCAGTTTATTGGACTCCTCAGAGGAGTGGAAGTTATCCAGATCTGCAGAATTCTGTCTTTCAAGGTGATCTGTACTAAGGCTGTCCACTGCTTCAGATTCAAAGCCAAAGTTCTTCGGAGCTTGGGGGTGTACGTGAGAGAGAGAGAGAGAGAGTGTGTGTGAACATAGCACCTGTTTGAGACATTTTAAAATAGCTGTCTTTTCCTGAAATTGTACAGCTGCTGTGATGGGCAACCTTATGATCCTGGAGAAAGATGCGGCTGCTTTAAAGAGTGGGAGATAATGGCTTTGGTTGCACCCCTGTATGTAGCAACTCCTTGGAACCAAAACCTCAGTGTTGTACAGCCATAGTCTGCACTGAAAACCCTACAGAATATTTTGTCCTTATAGGAATGTATTGAATAGTTGTAGCTGGGGAGGGGGGATGTTTCTCCCCACCCACCTAGTCATACGTTCTGCATATCAGAAGAGCAACCTACAAGCCACCTCTAGCTGTCAGCAGCCCTCAGACCACCTCAGTCAAACATGGGTAGGGCCAAGAACATACTTATGTTCTGAGGCTTTAGGTGATCTTCCTTCTGGCACCAAAAAGTCTAAAATTTGATCTAAATCAACTACAAAACCATCATTTTTCTTCACAGTAGGTGGCCTTAAAACATGCAGAGCAAATCTGGAGTGCTTGGGGGATTCAATCTTAGCCAATTCTCTATGTTAAATGACTCGATCTGCACCCTTCACACAGTCTGGATTTCTATTTTTCATTATTAGCTTGGGAGAGATCAGATCCTTCGCCCACCTTTGCAAATCCTGTCTTCGTTATTGTAGAACTGGGCTCTGCACTGAGGTAGACAGGTTCCGACGAACCTCTCCTCAAGGCTCATTTCTGGTTGCACGTTCTCCTCTGGGTTCATGCACTGTGTACAGTGTGAATGTTCTGGGCCAATACATGCCCTGCAAGATGAATGGCAACCTGCAGAAGAATCAGACTGTGAAATCCATCTTAAAGGAGGCTGTCTTTGTGGGAGAAAACTATGGATTCTCTTTTGGGAGACACCCTAGATCCACAATCCCCAACTTCAGTGTCTTCCATATATACTGAGTTCAACTTCCAGAATTCCTCAGTCAACACAGCCATTGCTAGGAATCCTGGGAATTGAAGTCTACACATCTGGAAGGTACTCAGATTGTATCTTCTCCAGTCAATAGAATGATGTCTGCAACTTTGTTTTCTTCCCCCTCCTTCCAGCATTATTGTCCTGACCCATCAACATTCTCAACATCACCCAACCATTTCTTTTTAGGGGGTGTCAGTGAACCCCATGAAAGGAAGTTAGTTCAATTCAACTCCAAAAGCAATGTATCTGAAAAAAGTCTCTAAAACTTTTCAGGAGTAACAAAAAACTTTCCAAAATCTGTGTTACCTTTACAGATGTTGTGGTGCTGATAAAAGCCCCCTCCACAAGCAAGAAGACACTGACCCTCGTAGAAGGCCTTGGGAAAGGAGCAGGAGGAGCACTGCGTAGGCAAAGGCCCTGTGCAGCTGGTGCAGGAACTATGGCAAACTGGGGGTGGGGAAAGAAAGGAAATGTAAATGGAACCATTCACAATTTGGATTTCTCCAAACTCATTCCAACAGTTGAGAATGACACCCACCACACCTTGGAATGAAAACATATGAAATTCCTTCCTTTGGTTCAAGTTCTCCAGTTCCAACATAGCAATATTCACGTGGTGGTGACGGTAGTGGTTAAAATCGGCAAGGTGGACTGAATGTTGCAATGCAAGCCCACCTCTTTTGTACATGCATGTCACACCATCAAAAGGGGAAGAGCTTCCTTCGCATCACTCCATCTGCCACCTGGCCAATTTTGACACACACATACACAGTCCTGTAACACCCTGAAGCAGGAAGCTGCAATTTGCTTTCTTTCTTTAGACGTTCTGTCTCCTTGTCCTGAAAATCACCCCAGAATCCTGTTTGCTTTCTCTTGCCTCTTTCTGTACTAATCTGAGCTAATTTTTCATATCATAACCCTGCCTAAAGTAAATATTTTTTGGGCTCAGAGGCATCCATGGGGGACAGGTGTTTGTAGAATGATAAAAGCAGCACTGCTCCTTTTACCACAAGCTCCATCCTTTTCGTATGGGTGTTGTGATGCCACGCTCACATAAAAAGGGGCAGAGCTTGTGATGAGACAGTGCAACGCAGCTTTTGTCACTGTGAGAAATATATCGGCTCCTGCAGAAACCTCTTCCTGGCTCAATACCTGCACCTGGTTCTATGAAACCAGATCACAAAAAAGCCATAAGACCCCTATTTAGGGATGGGTCCTTGTTCAGTTCATCAATATTCCAGAAAGACTACAAAAGCTGATTTAAGCAAAAGATCTATTTGTCATGCAAAACAGCAACACTAGACAGCAAACAGGTTTGTTTTTAAATAAGGTTTTCTACTGCCTGACCATTTAGTACCAATGCTGATTTCAATGAGACTAAAAGCATCTATGATGTAAAGTTTTTACAAAACAAAGCATGAAGCCATTACCTGTACGCACACATATGCTCACATATACATATGGTGCATACATACACACATAGTATACATAAAGACTGATTATGTGCCATCAAATCAGTGTGGACTCTTAGCAGCCACACAGCTTTTCTCCAGGACAATCAGTCCCCAGCCTGGTACTTCAGATCTTCCAACAGTACACCCACTACTGCTGTAACTGAGTCCATCCACCTTGCTGCTGGTTGTCTTCTTCTCCTCTTTCCCAGCCTTTGAGTCTTCTCCAGAGAGCTAGGTCTTTGCATAATGTGTCTGAAGCAGGATAATTTGAACCTGGTCATGTATGCCTTGAGCGAGAACTCTGGGTTGATTTGTTTGATGATCTATTTGTTGTCCATGGTATTCTCAGATATAGATAATCAACATTGCTTATTGCTCCAAATTACCTTTTAAGATTCTCCACCAAGTTTTTGAGCCAAGTAGGTGGATGGTTCTGTGAATTGGTTGAGAAATTGGGTGAAATTTCTCTGAGTTTCTCCTGGAAAAAGAGAACTTCTCTAAGAATGTCTGAAGGATTAGGGCTGCTTCTTAACCATGACAGTAATACTGTTACTGCAAAACGGTCTAAGGGAAGGCATGACGCCTTGTTGATGTATTGAAAACCCGGGAGGCTACAGACTGTTGAAGGAATTATTCTGCAAAGGAAGACAACACCTATATACACACACAACCCTTAGCTGCCTCATAAATACATAGCACCACACTCCATCTGTATTTCAATGAAATGCACTTGTCAAAATATGTTCCTGAAGGAAGTTCAGGAGGAGGAATTATTTGCCTGGTGTTAAGACAAAGAGCACTTGAGGCTGGATACTGATGGACTGTGTGTATGTGTGGGTGGGTAAGAATACGCAAGTGTGTGATCCACAACCAGAAGTTGCCTGGGGAGCTGGGACTACTAGGAGCTGTAGTTGAGCAATAACCGGAGGACCACAAGTTCAGCGCTCCAACATACTTACAAAGAATTCCCAGGCATCTTACCTCTGCATTTGTGAGAACTATCTGCGTAGTAGCCACGAGGACATTCTGACACGCAGTTCCCATCACGCAGAACTCGGCCTGAAGCACAGGCCAAACATCTCAGCTGGTCGGGGTAACATACTTCACAACCTTCAGGGCAAGCTAGCAAAGAGGAGAATCCAATTAGGGGGTTGTGTTTATCAAGAGAGAGAGGGAGAAAGGTCTAGGCTCCAAGGCGGGGGGTGGGGGGCAGAGGAGGAAACAAGCTACAAAACGTGTGCTGCAATGCAGTGGTGCAAATATCATTCCTTGCAGTTGCTGAGCAAGTATAAGGGCGGGGCTTAGATCATGATGTCGCAATGCACATTTTGGCATCATCATGATGAGGAACGTGGGCAGGAGCAATGGATTTATTGTTGAACTACTGCAGGAAACTTAAATTTGAATCGTTTTCAAAAGGGGCCAAGGCATCCACTCCACCACATTTGGCAGCCTCCTCTCCCAGCTAAACAGCTGTAAAAAAAAGGAGGGAAGATGTGTAGAGCAAGGGAAGACATGCGAGATACCAGATTTCCTCTCCTACTGCTCTGGAATCTGAGCCTGGAATCCTCTTCCCCACAGCACCTTATCCTCAGCTATAGTTCCTCCCTGCCCACTCCTCTGAGTTTTATCAAGTGCTGGAGAAAAATAGCTGCTGGAAGGCAGGATCAGACAGAAGAGTTTTCCCACTTCAGATTAGACCCATACGAATGCACACCAGCTTTAGAGGTTAACTGACTTGGATGGTGGAAAACTGATTTATTTAACAGCACCATTTCCATGGAGCTATACAGGTAGTCCTCGTTTACTAACTAATTTGTTTAGTGACCACCCGCAGTTATGACGGTGATAAAAAAGTAACTTTGCAATCAGTCCTTGCACTGATGACCTTCGCAGGTCTGTAAAGCAAAGGAAACCTGAAGGAAGATTGTCAGCAGGTTTACTTAGCAACCACTTCACTTAATGACCAAGTTGCCAGTCCCAATTGTGGTCGCTAAATGAGGACTACCTCTATAGGTAGTCCTCATTTAAGAATGAGTTCCATTCCCAAGGTCTGTCCTTAAGTTGAATTTGTATGTAAGCCAGAATAGTTTTATTGCATAATGCTGTATAAGTAGTATTGTGTAATTAACTCGAACCATCGTGTATTTAACTCAAATTTTGCTAGAGTAGGCTTTGTTCTTAACTATGGGTCATCTGTAACCTGGGAGTTCTTATCCTGGGGACTACCTGTATATGCAAAGGGGGCCTTCTGTAGAGGGGAGGCAATATTTTGTTTGTTTTTGCAGCCAAGGAAGGGCCATGGTTTTAAAATTTAAAATACACAGTTCATTGTTGTACATGACCTCACGAAATGAACCAAACCAAGATATTTTGGAGTGGGAGTGGGAAATAAGAGACAAAATGGGTGTTCTATGGCTTCTAAGATATTTAAGGCATTCATTGTATCCCTGGTCCTTAAAGAGGTACCAGAAATCACCCATAAGTTTTGGGTGGGGGGCATAAAACATCTATTAAGCGCAACTAGGGACATCTGGAGGGGATTAAAAAATCAAAATAATGGCTGCAAAGCTCTGATTTCTTTTTATGTGCCTTGCAAATTCTTAACAATATTTCATTTATTTTTACTGTATTTTTACAACTGCTGCGGTCAGGCACCATTTCAACCCTCAAGAAATGTAAAAAAATGCTCAGAACAGCCCCTTTAGGGAGGCATACAAATGTAAGAGGACAGCCTTACATCTGAAGCAGCATTCTTGCTGGGCTCCTTACAGATAAGCTAAGGAATATAAGGGCAGGGATGTCTGTGGGGGGAATGGGGGGGAGGTGTCAAAAAAATCAAGATGGCAGCCATGGCCCCCAATCAAACTCGACTCCTTTTTTTTATATTTGTGTTGTATGTGCAACACACACACACAAAGGGGTAGGGTTTCAACTGTGCAATCATAACCACCACCTTGGTTTTTTTGGGGGAAAAAACACTACATCAATGTTTCTCAACCTATGGCAACTTTAAGACGTGTGGATGTCTTAAACTCCCAGAATTCCCCAGCCAGCCATGCTTGGTTACTTTGGGCAACAGAAGGCTAATGCAAAACTTGTTCTCACCTCACCTGTGTCAGTCTTATGTGGCAGTGCGGCGTACAGGTTAAAGTGCTGGATTTGGGTCAAATTTCCTCTCAACCAGGGAAAGTCCATGGAAAGTCACTCATTTGTATTTACACTTTCTGTCTGTTTGCACAACCTCCATCTCAGAGTTGTTGAGAAAAGTTAGAGAAGAAAATTCAAAGTATGGAAACTTGAGTTTCTAGACCAGTGTTTCTCAGCCTTGGCAACTTTAAGACGTGTGGGGTTTTTCACATCCCATATTCCCCCCCACCCCACACCTCCGGGGGGGGGGGGGGGGGGGGGGGG